TGGTCTTCCGTCCCGCTCCGTGGCCCTGCGAGCGCAGGTGGCTGCACAGAGCGCAGCGCCCTGCGGGCAGCGCCGCCGCGGAGCCGCTCCCGGCTGAGCGAACCTTCAGCGTGTGTTTAAGGAGAGCCGCCTGCTTCAGGCCTTGTAGGTTTTTAGTAAAATCTTACTGGATAGAAACAAATCCTTTAATGCAATAGGGTTTGCAGTTACTTTAAAAAACACCACAAACCAGGTCAAGAGGCACGTGCTTTTGCTTAGAAATGGATAAAATGTGATCGATGTTCTGAATATCTTCTGATGTGAACACCTGAATGTTTTCTGATGTGAACACCAGGCCTGAAACGGCAGACCCTGCAGGGAGGGAAGGACTTAGTATGAACAGCGAAGGCCAGTCTTGATTCCATGAGTACTAGATGTATGGAGTATAAAACCTTACTTAGAGGCATATCATAAATAGGTTGCCCTTGAATGTTGTCCCTTAAATATTCTTACTGAACACTCAAGTAGAGAGGAGCGCTGTTGCTTGTGTTGTGAAGGTGATTATTGCACAATACAAAAAGCAGAATCTTTCTAGAGTAGAGTTACAGAAAAATATATAAGTAGAGCTTCTTGTCCCACAATTCTCTTCTTTTTTTTTTTTCTTTTTTTTCCCCCCTTTTTTTTTTTTTTTTTTTTTTTAGAAAATACAGTCACTATGTCGTCTGCACTATTGCCTAAGCCACAAATGCGGCGCCTTTTGGCCAGGAGGATGAAGTTTCATCTATTTGGGGCATTTGTTGTGTCTGTGGGATGTGCGGCTTTATACAAGGTGAGCTGTGTAGTCATTCAATTATAAACTGGACTCACTAGAGTTTTTTAAGGATTCATAATATCTTTTTGTTGAGATTTGGTTGAGCTGTTCATCAGAAAGCTTTAGTAATGTATTTTTGTAAGCATGTTTCCAGAACATAAATAAATCTTCTTAATCTTTATTTGAAGTAATGGTATGAAAAACCGGATCCTTTAAGCTGTGTGATCAAGATCACACAATTTGTGACAACCTTGAGTCTTCTAGTCCTAGACTACTCTTGATCGTTTGCACAATTGATGCACATTAACTCTGGATAGTCTGTGTCTCCCTCTGTCAAGGTATCCGAGACTCGAGAGAGTTGTCCAAGTCTTACTTTATCTCTAGACTGATTTCAGAAAACTTGCCAATAAGCAATTTGGGAGGAAAACCCGTCCTTCACACTGAAGATATCAGTGTGGGCAAGGCCAGTATGGTCCTTTTATCCTTTCTTTTGAAATACCATGTGGAAATGGAGTATTACATTTCCAAAAAACCCCACTTACAGATTGGAGTTTGTTTTTCGTGGTCCTTAAGAGACTTCTGACAAAGGTAAAAGTGATGGTCATTCTTGAGTGCCTTTACTAAACAGTTCTTGGATGTCATACACAAAGCAAGCAACACAGTTTGAATTAGTGTGGAAGAACTGGATCTTGGTTTGCCTATTGAACTCATTCATATACTATTTGCAGCATGTAAGTACTCTGGAAGCTATTGATAGAAGTGACTAGAAATTAAGTTCATTTCAGGTTGTTTACAAAAATATCACAGTAGACTTAAACTTTTCAGAGATCAACAAATGTCTATGAGAAACAATAAGCTTGCACAGATAAAGCTGAACATCTACTTAACACATCTGTTAAGCGGTAGGCAAACTTGTTTGTGCTTAGACTTACGATATAATTTTTTTAACAGTCTGTGGTTTTATACCTTATTTGGCACCCCCACATTAATACACTAGTAAGGCAGCAGATGATATCTAGAAAAAGTAACATAGATCTCAGTAGTGATTTATTTACCTAATGTTAGATACTGTTGGACAAACCCACCTTGAACTTCCCTTCACATTTTTGGAGGCTTTTTGAGCATATCCCTGTGCTTTAGGTGAATGAGTATCCAGAGAGTCAGGGTTGTGTCTGTATATGTTGGTGAGCTGTAAGAGTGGTTTGGCAATCTTGTAAAATTTTACCAGAGTTCTGTAGTTGACCTACAGTGTAGCTAAAATGTAATGCATTGTTTTAGGATGCTATTTTATCTGGAGTTACAGTTTTCCAGCTGCCCACAGGCACAAAACTGGCCATAATGTCATGTTTTACCTATAAAAATACTAGCAGGGAGGGCATTGGACACTTGAGTGTCAGTATAGGTGGAGTGTTTCTGGATCTTAAAAGTATAATGTGCTATCTTGTTACGGATTTTCTTTATAAGGTTTCACTTCAGACATTTGTTTTCCTGACCAATGGTCAGGTAACCTGAACTGTGGATTTGAACAGGAATAAAGTAATATTGTACTAATTTGAGCTAAAGGCTTTTTAGACTGATACCCACTGATACAAATCATAGCAGTAATAGAATAAAATTCTGTTCATAAAGCTTTGCAATCTTTAATTTTCTGTGTTACTTTCTAGTTTATAGTTGCTGATCCCAGAAAACGAGCTTATGCAGAGTTCTATAAAAACTATGATCCCATGAAGGACTTTGAAGTCATGAGAGCAGCTGGTGTGTTTGAGTCTGCACCACCCAAATGATGATTTACAGGTAATAAGCTACTACTCTGTATTAGAACATGAGTAAATTGGATTGTTTCAGTGAAACGTTGCGCTTCTATTTGGAGGTTCTTCCTTTTTGGTCAAATAGAAGGGTGCTGCCAAGGAAAAAGAATACAAATTGCACTTGAGAGATGTCTGGGTAACTGAATCATGAAGAAATATGGGAACTGGGAGTAAGGGCAGGATAGAAAGCTCCCGAATACCTTTTGGGTAATTTGTTTAACTTGTGTGATATGAGACTTGCACAAAGTGATGCCAGGCCTTTCCCTCCTCACACAGCCATGGAGAGGAGACAAAGCTCTTGTATTAAACTATAAGACTTGCTTCATATCACTGTTACGTTGATGCTGTCACCTCTTGAACTGCTTAGCTTCAGGCTACCTGTATCTACTACTTACGTACTTGTGGTGGTACAGTGAATGAGAATGGAGAAGCTGTTTCTCTCTCATAATGTGCATCTTAATATAAGGAACAGAGACAGCTTCCACACATCTTTTATCTTTTGAAGTTGGTGAGAGGGGGAAGATAACTAGTCATGGGGGGAAATATATTTAAATATGTACATACATACGTGTGTGTGTGTATATATATATATATATAAAAAAAATCACAATGGCACAGAGCTCTGTGTACTAATACTGAGATTTTTGCCATACTGAATTAAGCTTGAATAGAACTTTGTTCATACTATTTTCCTAGCACGTAATACTGCCTTTTATTTGAAGACTACCAAACTTTGTTCTCCCATATTTGTTGTCATAACACCAGGAAAAAAAGTCTTGATTTCAAGCTTATTGTAGCTATTAATAAGCACACTCGCTAAACTGCACAAGCTCATGATGTGACAACTCAATAAAGTCCTCCCCCTTTCTTGATCCAAATTTCTTACGTTGAGTTCTCTGCTTCTCTTAAAATGACTTCAAACTAATCTAGAATGATAGCTTTTTCATTCTTTTGGAATGTTTTCATATTGTGATCATTACATGATAATCTGTGGCTCTAATTATCCTGGCCAGCTGGATATTCTCAGCCTGTTTGCTTAAAGCAGCAAGATTGAATAAAAGATTTGTACTTAACACTATTAATACTAAATTCTGTTGTGTGACAATCTACAACTACCTGGTTTCTGCATAACGTAATTACATAAAAAAACAGAGCTCCAGCTCTCTCCAGCTTTTCTTAGAAAAAAAGAAA